CTGGTATGGATAAGATTGTAAGAAAATATCTATGCTATGGTGACCTTGACCTTAGACAAAACGACAGTCTTCATCATACAAAGCTGGGTTAAAGCTAAGTGTATGATTCATAAGATATATGGACAATAAAATTCCTAAAATGTGTTTATTTTAAGCTGCTATAAATTGACCTTTGACCAAATAAGTTTAAAATCAACAATAACATGGACATGATTCATCCATTTGTTTAAGATTAGATGTATTATTCAATAAATATCATTCATAAGACAAAATTGTTCCACAAATTGTTCTACAAAAAATAAATTTTCAGTTAAAATCTCAATAGGGTCTGATTTTTGTTGAAAACATAATATCAAAAAACTGAATGGCAAAGCCTAAACTGACAAATGCTATTCATCACATTATTGAGTTAAAAATCATGGTAAGAACAATTATCATCCAACATGTCTGTACTATTATTACATTTTTTCTAAGGGCTGTTCATATTTCAGTGCAGGGGGTTGGATGGGAGGCACTCAAATTAATAAATTGTGGGTAATTGCATTTTCTTTAGTATTTTATAAGAATTATAAGTATTACAAAATTTTTATATTATTGGTGGTTATGGTCTCAAAAAGTGCCTACCATCCCCCCCCCCAAGCCTTAAATAAACTTCACATACTGACTTTCTAAAAAATGATATATATCTGAGTACAAAGTATAACATCATTCATTATGAATGTGAAAGCCATAGTATATACCATGTCATTGTTTTTATAGCCTATGTAACAATTAATTTTTAAGAAAAGTTTACCTGATGAATTCTTACAAAAGTTCAATAGCACCTAATAAGTAAAAGTATTAAAAACATTTTAAGTGTTTAAACTGGGACCTTATATTTCTTTACTTCATGCAAACATTGTCTACAGTTTTATACAAAACTACCAAAAACGTCATATTTGATGAAATTGTATTTGATTCTATATTAACGACAAATTTTAAATATATCAGATAATGATATTTGATCACTGAAAAACATTACTGGTCAAAGACCAGTTACTGTCACATTGCATTTAATGCAATGAAGAACCCCTTGAGTAAATACAGCATACTATTATCTTCATACAAATACTCTTGTTTTATTTTTTTAAACTTGGTTTTGTTTGATCCAATCAAAGCACGGAAATCATGATTGTTTCTTTCTTTAAACACTTCTTGGGAAGATACTTGTGTGGGACGTGACATCATCTAGGAACTAGATTCATAGGTGACAGTAACTGGTCCTGGTAACCATAAAATTCCCAGCAAAAATTGGCACACTAGTAACCTGGTTTTTTTTCTGTTTATAAAAGGTATAAAATTAGAGTCTGTGGTCCTAGATATGACTTTTGATAACTCTTTTAATGTGAAAAGAATATTTCAAAAAAAAATTACTGTGAAGTCATTTGAGAATAAATGGGGAATATGTCCATGGGACACAGATGATGCCCCTGCTTGCATATAACAGTATAAAGGGACATAACTCAAGAACAGTAAAAGTGACACTACCTAAATTCGTACTTGATCTGAGTTTTGTGGTAATAAGTATTGTGTATAAGTTTAATAAAATTTGGTTGAGGCAAACTTAATATAGAGAACGGAAACGAAAAATTCATCAAATTTTCCATTTGTAAAGGGGCATAACTCTAGAACAGTAAAAGTGACGCCATCAAAATTCAAAGTTGATCTGTGTTTTGTGGTATTAAGCATTGTGTATAAGATTCGTAACATTTGGTTGAGGCAAACTTAAGTTAGAGAACGGAAACTAAAATTCAGCAATTTTTCCATTTGTAAAGGGGCATAACTCTATAAAGGTAAAAGTGATGCCACCATAATTCAAATTTGATCTGTGTTTTGTGGTAATAAGCATTGTGTAAAGTTTCATAACATTTGGTTAAGGCAAACTAAAGTTAGAGAACGGAAACCAATTTCGGGACATAATGACATACAGACTGACGGACTGATGTACAGACAGATAAGGGTAAAACTTAATGCCCCCTCCGGTAAGGTGAGGTCATAAAAAGTGCTAATTTCAGATGGTAATTGGTACTGGACCAGTATACTTTAATAAAATAATAAATTTACTCTGATCTATGTTTGTTCTAACAATTTTTTATAAACTGTTCAACATTTACCTCATCAATAAGGAATTTTCAAGCCATTCATATTTAACACTGCATGCCAAAAGTAAATTCAAACCCAATTATTAAGAAAGAGACCAAAAAAGGAATTTTTTTGTAAAATTCTGAAAAATATAGTTAAGCAGAGCTGTTAACTGTTCCTTATCAAGAGTTTTCAGAGACAATAAGCATTATAGAATAAAGAATTATTTTTAATGTGTAATAACTGTAATGAAAGAAAAAGTAAGTAATTCTAAAATAAATCACCCGGTTAGCATTTAATACTTTTCAGCTGGTGCTAGAATGTATGCATAAACAAATTACCTTTTAATATAAAAAGGAAATAAAAGACCCCATGTTTCTAAATTATTTTACTTTCAGAAAAAGATTCAGGGTTATTAGTAAAAATTCCTGGAGGTAAGCAATAAAATTATAATAAACATTCTAATATAACCAAAAAAAAAATGTCAATAAACAGATAAATGAGGAGAATATATCAATAAAACATAAAAGATATCATCCAAAGCTGGTTACTGAACATGGCTGCTAAGTGTTGACACATACAACTGTCGTCTGCTACAACTTTATAACAATTGACTTTACATTCATAAACATTTTGCTAGCAAACAGGACTTTAATGTAATGGTATTTCAAGAATATCATCAATCAAGAAGAAGAAGTGTAGTGGTATTCCCAAAGCTAATATCAGTCAAGAAAAATATATGTTATGGTATTGCCACACCTATACAAATATCAATAAATATAGCAGCATTTCCATAACTGATATGAAGAATGAAGACCAAATATGAAATGGTATTTTCAAAATATGTTATTAAGAATGAACAATCATGTGATATGTTACTGGTGATGCAATACATAAGTCCCATGTAAACTAATAAATGAAATTAAACAATTAAAGGGTCATTTGCTGTCAAATTCATGTTCACTGATTTGACTCAAATTCTCATATTTGATTTATAACCTACTAAAACATATATCCAACTTACAAAAAGTTTAAAATGAACAATTAACAATGCATGGACTCGATAATATATATCAGCATTTTGTGTGTATTTTAGTCTAGACGCCATCTAATTTACCATCAAGGTGACCTCCGAAGACTGCCAATGGTCATATAACCCAATATAAACATAAATAGATATAAATAGATAGCGAACACGTGCAAATTGGATTTTTCTAGGTCTGTTTGAGTTCATATTATGGGTTAAACAAATATGTTAATCATCGTTTTTACCTGTATGAGAATGAGTTCTTTTTAATCGAATCAGTCAACCAAATGGTTTACCCTTATTTCAATTTTAATGTTGACATTCTTTTCCTTTTAATAGCTAAACAAGCCTAGTTTATGAGTAACCCATCTCTAGCTTAGGGGTTAAATAGAAGGTCACATGAATACGGATTCAATGAGGTCCAATTATTCACTTGCAAGTGAATAATTCATCAGTGATGTTTCTTAGCTTATTTGGACAAAATTGAACCAAAATTGTTGCTAAAAGCGAATTATTATTTGACTATTTCACTTTCATTATAAATGAATGAACAAAAAACAAATCATATTTTAATTTTTTTATATATAGTAGCTAATGATCCTTTAAAGCTTCTCTTCTCTTAAATTCACAAATGCTCCATATATCATATATATACAATACATGTATATTGTTGGAAAATTTTAAGTTTATTTGTAAGAGCTTTAGAAACAGGAAGAAAAGCGAGACTCCGGAGCATTTGTCCTGTTTCATAGCGAGTACAAATAAATCTTATATTTCCTACAATGTACATATATTGTTTTTTTATCCTGTAATTTACGCTTAGCACTTTATGTTTTAGTTGTTTAAATCTATATAGTTGTCTAAATCGATATAGTTGTCTCCAAAATGAGCTGTCACACAAGAAGAAATATTCACATTACCGTTTGCTCAATATGGAAGCGGAGTAACAGGATACTTTATTTGTACAAGTACAAATAAAGCAAAAATATAAAAAATAAATTGGGAATGTATCCATGGGACACAGATGATGCCCCCGCTTGCATATAACGTTATAAAGGGACATAACTCAAGAACTGTAAAAGTGACGCTACCCAAATTTGTACTTGATCTGAGTTTTGTGGTAATAAGCATTGTTTATAAGTTTCAAAACATTTAGTTGAGGCAAACTTAAGTGAGAGAACAGAAACGAATATTTCAGCAATTTTTCCATTTGTAAAGGGGCATAACTCTAGAATGGTAAAAGGGACGCCACCAAATTCAAACTTGATCTGTGTTTTGTGGTAATAAGTATTGTGTATAAGTTTCATAACATTTGGTTGAGGCAAACTAAAGTTAGAGAACGGAAACCAACTTTGGGACGTACGTACATACTGACGAACGTACAGACAGACAAGTGTAAAACTTAATGCCCCCTCAGCTACGGTGGGGGCATAAAAATGGTAAAATAACATCTGACAAAACTTTTTAAACAAGATACCCGAATAATGTTTGCGGCCAAGTTTTGTTACAATTGGCCCAGTAGTTTCAGGGAAGAAGTTTTTTGGGTCCGTTAACTTAACATTTACTTAAAGGTAAAATAGAAAGAGAGTGCTCAGATTGTTACTTAGTCAATCCTTTTTCATTTGTAAGAATTTCAACTATATAAACATTTTCGCTATTAATACGAGAATTTTTCCAATTCTAGCATTTAAACATTTCAAAAGTATTATAATAGTGTTGTATTCCATCTTTTTTCTTCTGTTTGTTCTATTTTTACTTATTTTTTTATATAATCATGTCAGTCAATTATGTATGATAAATAAATAACAAATGTCTTTTTACACTTATATTACAACAAATTATTTTACCCTACCTGCTGATTTATCTTGAAAATATGCCAACAAACATCTCATAACAGCTTGGTGACAAACAACCATTACATTTTCTTGTCTTTCTAATTCCTAAAAAAATCAACTTCATTTGTAATGAACAGAATCTGCATATAAGGTATAAACTATATCTTTGTAATTCCGCCAAATAAAATAAGTTTATTTGACATTAGTTTCTTAATTATCTCCTCTTATTCCATAAATGCTTTACTGTGCTTATACACAAGGCTTGAATATGGGACACACAACAGTTCACATAAAATGCACCAACAAAACTTTGACAGTCAGTTCTCTGGCCACTGTAGGACAATGAAGGAACTATTGGATTGTTTGTCATTCAGCCAGTGTACATCTGATGTTACTGTGTTCAAAAGTTAACAAATTGGTAAACAAAATGTTAATTTTCCTCATGTGTCTAGTCTAAACTACAGTTTTAATGTTTTTATTGTGGTAGTAATATTGTGATCAACTTAGTTGCTATGTGTTCTCCAAACTTTATAGTGTTTTAAAACCGTTTGAATTTTGTATTTTTGTATTTTCAAAAATTGCAAAACACAGAATATCACAAATACAAGAAAAAAATTGAACTTTTCTAGATTTCTATGATGACGTATTTACCCCACACGTAGAAATGAAATATACAAGGTTATTGTGTGATACCAATAAAGGCACTAAAGGACTGCCTTCAAAAAATGGAAATTCCATACGAAAATAAAGTACTTTTCAGTTGAAATTTTTTTAACTAACCAATCAAAATCAAGAAAATCTTTAGGCTGCCATCTTCTATGAAATTGAAAATTTCCAGCATTATATTACTCCAGCCAAATGTTTTCCCAATAGGCCAAGTTGTCTCAAGGGACACGTTGAAAATGAAATAAAGTATAGGATAAAAAAATAATTATTGAAATATCATGAATGATACATATGCTAATAGATCAGAATATAAGAAAGGGGAAAGAAGAAATTGTTGTAAAGAGTCACCTACTTGCTATGCCTAAAAAGTTTGTAAAGAATTGGCATAGGTGAAGAATAAAAAACAGTCTCTGGTATAGGCCATTTTCTTTACAAACTGAACCAGATGAAGATAAATAATAAAGGATCTTCCATCATTATTCCAACTAAGGGTAGGTCTTAATACATGATATCATTGTCATCATATATTCTACCCCATGTAAAATTGACATTAACTCAGAATGTGTTTTTGTCTGTTTGTTACATACATTTAAGTGTTTATTGATATGACTGCTAACAAAGTTACATTACCATAATAACAGGTTCTAGTCTGGCAACTAAATCTTGATATGACTGAAAAAAATATTACTTCACTTTAATGATTAAATTCTTTCAAATTTTAAATGTATTTCAATGACCTCTTGAGGTTATAAATGTTAAAAAGTGTTTCAATGACATTTGGAGGTCATAAATGATTACATTTCAGTCTATGTACTCTAGAGGTTATATTTATGATTACATTTGTGTCAATAACCTCTCGAGGTTAAAAATATTTAATGTTTTAATGACCTTTAGAGGTTACATGTGTATACATGTATTGCAATGAGGTTCCTCAAGAGGTTACAAATGTACACATGTATTTCAATGTCCTCTAGAGGTTAAAAAGGGAATTGCTAGCAGACAACCCTGCCCAATGTTAATGTGCCTGTCCAGGGTCAGAAATCTCATTATTGGTTGTCATTGTAACTTATTGTCAGTTAACAATTTAGCACTTAAGTGTTGACAGCAGATCTTTTATAGTATTAGTTGAATTCTACACAAATTTATCCAAAGGATTTAGAGGTTCACACTTATAACTTGTTTATCATTGGCCTCTACAATGTTGATTTTTTACATTTGTATTGGGTCCTACAGAAGCCTTGTCTCACCAGTGACTGCTACTGTCTATGAAAAAGTGTAATGCTGATGGAGTCTATTTATCAGTAAAATACACAAATTTACTGAAAAAAAAATTTGCTCAAAATGCCAATTCATGATAATGAAGAAGCTTCTGTCCAAGTTTTGTAAATTCCATGAAGGTTTGACATTGATATTCAAGTTTTAAAATCTTGAACAACAGACTTTTCCTTGATCTCTTATCTTACCTCCCCACTAGGATATCTATAAAGGAATTTATCTTAGTCTTGTATCTTACCTCGCCACTAGGATATCTATAATGGAATTTATCTTGGTCTCGTGATGCAAATTCATGTGGATATTTCTCCTGGATTTCTTCATAAGTCATTTTTTCACATATACCCTAATAAAAAAAACAACAAATCAACTAACTGAAAATAGGTATTTGTGAAATTCCATAGCATTTTAACTTTACTTACATTAGTGAACTACAGTAATTGTAAAAATTCAAGTATGAAGAAAATACTACAAATATTCAATTGGCATGAATAATAATTACTTTTAACCATTCTGTTTAATTTTATGAAAAGTCAAATATGCGTTAAATATCATTTATGTCTCACCAGAATAAATAAAATGCTCCGCAGGGCGCAGCTTGATACGACCGCAGAGGTCAAACCCTGAACAGTTGGGGCAAGTATGGACACAACATTCAAGCTTGATACAGCTCTGAATTTGGATTGTGATTAAATATTTGACACAGCATAGGTTTCTGACACAGAATAAATGTGGTCTAAGAACTTAAAAATTTTAAATTGGACATTTACCTATTATGGTCCAATATCCAAAATCTAAATACATGGTTAGATTCAGCATATCAAAGAACCCCAAGAATTCAATTTTTGATGAATTTCAAACAAAGTTTAATTTTGGACCCTTTTGATCTCAATGTGGACAAAGTTGATAACGGGGCCCAAAAATCAAAAATCTAAATACATGGTTAGATTCAGCATATCAAAGAACCCCATATATTCAATTTTTGTTGAAATCAAACAAAGTTTAATTTTGGACCCCGATTTGGGCCAACTTGAAAACTGGGCCCATAATCAAAAATCTAAATACATGTTTAGATTCAGCATATCAAAGAACCCTAAAAATTCAATTTTTGTTAAAATCAAACTAAGTTTAATTTTGGACCCTTTGGACCTTAATGTAGACCAATTTGAAAACGGAACCAAAAATTAAGAATCTAAATACACGGTTAGATTCGGCATATCAAAGAACCCCAATAATTCAATTTTTGATGAAATCAAACGAAGTTAAATTTTGGTCCTTTGGACCTCAATGTGGACCAATTTAAAAATGGGGCCCAAAATCCAAAAACTTAATACACGGTTAGATTCAGCATATTAAAGAACCCCAAGAATTCAAGAATAAAACTCCATTGAAATTGATCAAGAAATAAGCAATTTATAGGAAGTATCTTCTTTTGCACAATACTGTGCAATTGAATATTTCTTGCTATTGCGCAATACTGTACAATTGACAATTTCTTGCTATTGCGCAATATTGTGCTATTGGATATTTCTTGCTATTGCGCAATACTGTGCAATTGAAGATTTCTTGCTATTGCGCAATACTGTGCAATTGAAGATTTCTTGCTATTGTGCAATTGAAAATTTCTTGCTATTGTACAATACTTATTATATAATAATTTACACATCCTGTTTGGTGTGTATCTCCTACCATATCATTATTATTTGCTTTTAAATATAAATAATCAGAAATAACCAACTTAAAATGGAAAATTTTAAAAGAAAAAAAAAGGAAAAAAATAAAAAAAAATAAAAAAAAAAAAATCCCCCCCCCAAATTTTTAGAACCCCCTTATGATTCATCACCCCCAAACTCAATCCCAGCCTTTCCTTTGTGGTATGGTACCTTGCAGTACAATTTCAGAGAGATCCATACACTTGAACACAAGTTATTGTCTGGAAACTAGAAAAATGCTTATTTTTGGCCCCTTTTTGGCCCTCAATTCCTAAACGTTTCGGGCAATTACCCCCAAACTCAATTCCAGCTTTCCCTTTGTGATATGGAACCTTGTAGTACAATTTCAGAAAATATCCAAACACTTACACACAAGTTATTGTCATGAAACTAGAAAAATGCTTGTTTTTTGCCCCTTTTTTTGGCCCCTAATTCCTAAAATTTTGAGGCAATTACCCCCAAAATCAATTACAGCCTTCCCTTTGTGATATTGAACCTTGTGGTACAATGTCAGAGAGATCCATACACTTACACACAAGTTATTGTCTGGAAGTTACAAAAATGCTTATTTTTGGCCCCTTTTTGGCCCCTAATTCCTTAACTGTTGGTACTATAACCCCCAAAATCAATCCCAACCTTCCTTTTGTGGTATTGAACCTTATGGTAAAATTTCAAGGAGATCCATTCACTTAAACTAAAGTTAGAGTGAGAAAACCAATGTGTCTTCGGACGACGACGACAACGACGACGACGCCAACGTCATACCAATATATACAACCACAGGGAAACTAAAAAAATCTTCATTTATGAAAAAGAATGTGAAGCTTTTAAAAAATAATTACCAAAGTAAATTGTTCAAGGTGTTATTGAGTTTTGAGCATCATGTGTTTCCCTTTTTTTGACAATCTAAGTCCAAGAACTCTGGAGGGACTAAAATGAAAATCTTTAAAGAGTAAACAGACCCTCAGTCTACTACGGGTAACATTAATTATAAATTAATGAAGTTTGAAGTTAATCTTTAAAGGTAAACCTGAACTGCTGCAAGATAGGAAAAATAAATTTTTTTTCCAATTCAAGTCCAATAACTCATATAATTAACAACAAGGGTGAAAATCCTAAGAATATAAACCATCCACCATTTTTAATCATTTTGGGAAGTTTGAAGTACTTTACTCAAGGTGCATTTGAATTATTGTGTGGCATTTGTAAAATATCTTTTTTATGATTAAAGTCCCATAACTCAACAAGAGTGAAAAACAGACCCTCAGACCACAAATTTAACTAATTTTGTAAAGTTTGAAGTAAATTGCTCAAGGCATACTTGGTTTAGTACAGACATGTTTACACAAAAAGGAAACATAATACATATATATTGTTGATTGCCTTATAAAAATTAGATAGGATTCAATATATTAAGTTACAGAGAGCATGTAAAGGTTGTTTCGACTTACAGCATCAATTTCATTCAGAGCTTTCCAATTTTCTTTAGGTGCATCTATAAACTCTGTTGTCTGTTTCGTTCTTACAAGTTCACTGGTCCACACTCGTAGATTTGGAATGTTTTCTTCTTGTACGTATCTACCCAATTTCGATGCATACTGTAAAATAATAGGAAATTATTATATTATACAACTTATTCAGGAAAAAGTTGCAAACTTTAATCTAAAACATAACAATTTTCCCATCAGTTTCACTTTTCCTTATACATGTTTCCTTCCTAACCTTTAAGCAGTAAACAAATTACTATAAATTCAGAAATTATTACAAGGTTTATCATATTGCAAATAATGCAACCTGGGTGAGTATCGCAATAATAAGAACTAGCATTCTGAACTCTGACACATATATTTGTATGCAGCTTTTCCTGTAATAGCAATAGTCATTCTCACATTTTGGTTTGTCCTTTTGAAACCACAATAATAAATGCACACAATTATTGCTAAATTTTCAGTACTGTAATTGTTGTTAACATAACTGTAATGCTGTATTGTGTATCACACTTTAAAAAAAAGTATTTCATGAAAAATAAATATTTAGTATGTAGCTATATTTTATCTTTATATGTATATAAATTCAAATAATTAAAAAAAAATTGTTAAAAGTATGTTTTTTTAGGAGACAACCAGCTTTGGGGTGATATTGTTTTTTCCCAGGAAAATAACAAAATGTAAATGTTAAGGGATTGTTTTTGAAAATGAATGCTGCCATGCTATATGCTATATTTCCAACTTTCCAAAAAAATTATAGTACAAGTACAGCTTGTTTACTCTTTTTAATTTATAATGACCTTTCCAATCACCCTGATTATAGAATAAAATCTATGCTCTTACTTCATTTTGATTACACCTATGACATCCAATACTCCAAACAAGCTAACCCTACCACGTATGCATATGCCTATTCTAAGTCAGGAAGCTCTTCAGTGGTTGTCTATTGTTATATCTTAATGATATGTTTGTTATTTTTTGGTTCTAATGGCAGATCTTTATAACAATAAGAATATGTGGTATGATTGCCAATGAGACAACTATCCACCAGAGGCCAAATAAATTATAGATACAAACCTCATGACCTCTCTCTGACAATCCACTATCCCCTCCAATTCTTCCTAACAAATTCATTTCACTTTCACCATGCTGTAAAACATAATTTTCCATTTAAAGCATTAAGAGACAAATACTGCAAAGCTTAACATTATACTATTTAATAAAAATAGTTTTGGAAGTAAAATTAAACTTCAATATGAAATTCTCCTGATAATGCATGAAATATTTGCAAATAGAATTTTGCAAGCAACAATGTATAAAAGCATATTACATTTTTTACTATAATTGAACCTATTTTTTTTTTCTATTTTCTGTCAAAAAAGGAAACTTACCCTTGTTAAATAAATGGTTCTTGGTAATACATGAATATTCATTAAATAATAAACAACTCGACTTTGTAAGTGACCTGAAATAGAAATAGCAACTATATCTCACAACAGTTTCACAAACTGAAATGGACATATATCGTTGATAGATAAATCATATCTAACTTTTTGTTCATTGTTTCATTCATAGATATCATAAAATGATTGCCTAATTTGATTAATGGTAGTTTTAAACTACTGCAACACTTGAGAGAAAAGATTTATCAAAATCAAATGTTACAATGGATATCATAAATGATTGACTAATTTGATTAATGGTAGTTTTAAACTACTGCAACACTTGAGAGAAAAGATTTATCAAAATCAAATGTTACAATGGATATCATAAATGATTGCCTAATTTGATTAATGGTAGTTTTAAACTACTGCAACACTTGAGAGAAAAGATTTATCAAAATCAAATGTTACAATGGATTTATTAATGCAAAAAAACTTGGTCCACAAAAATAAATGAATCCACAGCATTATATAAGTTGTCAGTAGGCATATGTGTGTACGATTTAAAAGTAGAATTGTAATAATTAAAAACATATGTTCACCTAATATTAGGATTACCTACAAAAGCCCTTATTTGGTCATGATCAGGGTTAGAGAAGTGACATGTTCTGAGTGATGCTGAATTTAGTGAATAAATTATCTGAGTTATCTCCCCTCAATCAATATTTTTTTTCCTATTTTTTAAAGTCATTAGGTCTATTTCAACCAAATGGATGTCGGAAGTTTATTTTTTACCTTAGGTTTGTGTTATGATGGTTATATGTCCTTTTGATGTATGCACATTTACTCAAATTATGTTGGTTGTAAGTTGTTGTTGTTGTTGTCGTCGTTGTCATTATTGTTGTTGTGTTGTTGGTTGTAAGTTGTTGTTGTTGTTGTTGTTGTTGTTGGGGGGGGGGGGGGGGGGGGGATTTTGGAAGTCCCTTCTTACCCTACGTTATACACATACATTTTAATGGAACAGCTCTTAACATACAATAGATTATTATGAATGTCTGCATTTGAATAAACTTGATTTTACCTAATAAGATATGCAAATTTCAGCGTATACCAGTAACAATTAATAATATGAGATCGAAGAGGACCACCAAGATTTTATACTCCAATGCTAATATTCAGGATTAAAACCCTGTATAAAAGCTTTCATTTTTTTGTTGGGGAAGGAGGCAATGTGATTAAATCTACTTTCTGTACAAAAATTTCTTGCTACTCAGTATTACTGGCAGGAAAATCCTGGATGTCCTGTAAGAAGATATTTAAATATGCTTTTTTACCTGCTAATTTATGTACCATAAATCTCTCCCCTTGATTAAATATTTGTATGTATGACAAATCATTGTCTTTCTCATGTTCCAGTTGCTCATAATGTTCACGATAATGCTCTATACGTTGTATAAAGTCTTGAACAGCAGAAGTTTTATCCATTCCTTCATAATCTGGGCTACATACTTTTACTTCCTGTTAAAAAAAGACCAAGATGAAAATTAGTGTTCTAAAATATTGGTATTGGGTTTTGTTATTGGTATTTTTAACACAGGTTTGTTTTATTGAAATTCTCAATAATTCATGACGTACAAAATATGATAGTCTAAATTGCAATTCAATTGATTTAAACATGGCAGTCTGAATGAGGATATAGTACAATGATAAAGAATTGATGTGAATACATTCCTCAATACAACCAAATTAGTTTATTGTTTTGAATGTGATCAAATATACAATTGACTTTCTATAGGTTTGTTGTAATAGTCTCTGAATGTTGTATTTTCCAGTTTTGTTCTAATTTGATTTTTAAGGTACCATAGGACTGTGGTTAAATTCTTTTTTGAATTCAGTTTTGTAATCTTGAAACAGTTTGAATTGTTCTTGAGACTAAAGTTTTGGGTAATTTTTCAATAGACAATGCTAACCAAATCTTCAAAACTTATGCTTTCAACTTCTTATTACTTACATCTATATATGTCAATCACAGATCACACTGATCATAAACCTTTATTTATACTACATTGTACTTACAACAATATTGGCTTCTATAATAGTAGGATCATCACATATAGACTCTACAAAGAAAATTTTAAACTTGTGTTTTTCTTTTATAAGGTCTACCAATAATCGTCTCCTTGCTCTGGTAGTGTTTGTAGCATCCAAAACCTAAAACGAAACAATACCATATTGTGTTGATCAAATTTAAGGCAAACTATAGTGCATTTATACAATTACTAGCCTGACATTGTCCATCCTACCATTGGTAAAAAGTAAAATTGTTATGCCTTTAAAGACCAAATCATCTTCTGCTTAGTGTCCACAAGTATTGTAAGAAATATATCTGAGAGTTATTTTTCAGGGACTAATCCATTATAATAACATGCTGACTTCAATACTACACTTTAAACCAACTCATTTTTCACCACTTTCGCAAGTAAAAAGTAATGTAAATATAAATCGTCACGATTTTGTAAAACTTGAATATTCCCTCAAATAAATACATCAAGAGAGTTAGAAAATTGTAAAAGTAAATTGTTGCACAGTCAGCTAGAAAGGGGTAAAATAAACTATCCACAACAATAAGTTGGTTTACAGAAATTATGCTGGCATTTTCTTACGTACATTATTGTGTGTAGACAAGTACACTTACAGCAACTTCTTCTACACTGAATATCTATGTGTGTCTATACATGTAGTATACAAGTGTTTACAACTTTACATGTACATTAATGTCTTTATTGTGTATATGTGTGTGTACATTTGTTTACATAGACATTTTTTGTTTATGTGTGTACATTTGTGTACATAGACATTTTTGTTTATGTGTTTGTACTTTTGTGTACATAGACATACTTACAGCAACTTCACCCCCACTGTCTAGAAATTTACAGGCATCTTCTACAGCCAATATTGCACATTTTCTGTAAGAAGCAATCAAAATGTTTAGACATATTTTAATGGATGAATCTAAGCTGGGTTATCTGTTTTTACATTTGTGTGTTTATTACACGTCATGCTCTGAATCCATCGTGAAGATTAAGGTAATTAAATATATTTCAAAAATCCTTGCCCAGTGTCCACTTTTGACCCATGTATGTTTTGAGAGCATAAAACTACTTAAAAGAACTTTTAAAAGTTTTTTATTTATAAATAGATGGATTTTTTTGTCATTTTCAAGAGCTTTGGTTTTGTGCCAAGTCAGGAATATGGCAGTTGTTTTTCATTTGTTCCGTTGGTTGATTTTGTCAGTTTTTATGGACTTCCCCTTATTGAATTTGCCTTGGAGCTCAGTATTTTTGTTATACTTTTTGTCTATTATATTTATTCCCAGGTTGTGTAAAATTGACACACATCAATTGTAAAGCCAATACCCAATACCCAATCTAATCCAGCTGAATCTTGGCTTCACCTATGAATTAAGTTATAAACAAACCTAATAAACATAAACTTGACCATTGATACATTTTTACACTTTATTTCAAATATCAGCTCAATATCTTCAAAGTCAGCAGAAAATATTCAAATAAACTGTTATCACAGAGATATGTCTCGCCTTTTTGTAATTTTGATTATACAAATGTTGAAACTAAAATAGCAATACTTTAACATGTAAGTTATGCAAATATTCAAAGTCGATGAACCATGACTGAAGGTACATGGCTAAACAATCTCCATGGAATGAGATGTGCCAATGCTAATACTACTGCATACCTAATACCATTGACTTATTATAAGTCGTTCCCTTTAAACAAACCTAAACACAAACATTAACTTGTAAACAATGTAAAAGTTTCAAAGTCAATGAACCATGATCAGGGGTGGGGCTATATAATCTCCATGGAAACGATACTTGCAAATGTCAATAAATTTGCATACCAAATATCATTGACTTAACATTAGCAGTTCATCTTAAACTGATCTAATCACAAACTAATACATGTAAACTAAGCAAAAGTTTCAAAGTAAATAGACCATGACTGAGGGGGCGGGGCCAAATATTCTCCATGGAAATTAGATGTGCTAATGCTTATACAACTGAACACCAATTAACATTGGCCTACCACTAATGGTTCCCCATAAATTGACCTAATCACAAACTAATACATGTAAACTATGAAAAGTTTCAAAGTCAATAGGCCTTGACTGAGGGGGCAGGGCCAAATAATCTCCATGGTAATGAGATGTGCCAATGCTAATACAACTGCATACCAAATATCATTGACCTACCACTAGTGGTTCACCATGAACTAGACCTAATCACAAACTAATACATTGTTGACGCCGCCGCCGCTGCCGACACCGGAAACAGCATACCTATGTCTCGCTTTTTGACTCCGTCAAGGCGAGACAAAAACTTCAATCATTTTATTAATATTTGTATGTATTAAATTCAAAGATATATATTGAGCTGAACATAACATAAATGAGTTGTACACAGATTCATTTATATTTGTGGGTACCAATTTTCATGGATTGAGGGACATTTGTATTTTTGTTGACATTTCATTTCATGGTTTTGTCAAAGTCTGCATACAAGCCAATAGAAAATTTGTACGCTGTTGAATATTTAAATTCATGGTTCACCTTTACCCACAAAAATTGGTGTGCCACTAATGATAATGAATCCACAGTATATAAGATATACAGTTGCACACTGATTTTCAATTGTGTAATGATAATCTTATTGCACAGTTTTTTGCTATATTACGTAACAGCACTAATATCTATATATATAAGTTTTCAAATAGTATAGTTTTCAGAATTGGCTATGATTTTTAGATTTCAATATTTATGTACTGGTCTATTAAATAAACTGTTAACACAGAGATATGTCTCGCATTTTTGTACTTTTGATAATGCAAATGTTGAAATTAAAATAGCAATACTTTAACATGTAAGTTATGCAAATATTCAAAGTCAATGAACCATGACTGAAGGTACATGGCAAAACAATCTCCATGGAAAGGAGATGTGCCAATGCTAATACAACTGCATACCAAATACCATACTTATCATAAGTCGTTCCCTTTCAACAAAGCTAAACACAAACATTGACTTGTAAACTATGTAAAAGTTTCAAAGTCAATGAACCATGATGAGGGGATGGGGCTATATAATCTCCATCGAAACGAGACTTGCAAATGCCAATAAATTTGATCTAATCACAAACTAATACATGTAAATTAAGCAAAAGTTTTGAAGTCAATAGACCATGACTGAGGGAGCGGAGCCAAATAACCTCCATGGAAATGAGATATGCCAATGCTTATACAACTGCATACCAAATATCATTGACTTATCATTAGTGGCTCCCCATAAACTGACCTAATCACAAACTAATACATGTGAACTAAGCAAAAGTTTCAAAGTCAATAGACCATGACTGCGGGGGCAGAGCCAAATAATCTCCATGAAAATAAGATGCGCCAGTGCTAATACAACTGCATACCAAATATCATTGACCAACCACTAGTGGTTCACCTTAAACTAGACCTAATTACAAACTAATACATTGTTGACGCTGCCGCCACCGCCGCCGCCAGAAACAGCATACCTATATCTCGCTTTTTGACTCCGTCAAGGCGAGACAAAAATCAGACAGATAGCATCAGATTTTTGACAAATATTCCCAGCTGTTATTCCACTGATTTTATATATTGAAATTAAAGAAACTTGGTATGAATAAGTTTTAAATATGGTAATAATTCATTGTCTTTATAAGAAAAGGATCACAGTAATGGGTGGTAAAATCTGGTCAGTAACTTTTATAAAGAATTTCAAGAATCTATATAAAGTACCCCTGTGATTTATTGTACAGTAGTGCAACACAGTCTGAATGCCAAGTCTAGACACCAAGTGATAAGAATAGGTCACTTGGGCCATGTGAGGTCCATAGGCAACTTTGGGCCATGTGAGCTAAAAAAAAAAAGACCCAAATTTACCTATTTTTCTATATCTTACAAAAATATCCCCATATTTTAATGTTATATCTAAACAAGCCCTTTTATAGGTATTTTTTCCATAAAAGCTACTTTACAACTTATGATGATTTCTGAAATTTTATACATATATACATGAAAAACAAATATTAATCCTTTTTGTTTAATTACATATCAAAAGAAACCATGGTAATAAAATTTGTAGGTTTTTGTTTTTTTGTGTGGACATTTGGTGACTTTTTCAAAATCTAATGGCTGTAATTACGTCTTTGGAATGTTAACTTGAATGACACTCATATGAAATCTTTTGCTTCGCATTACATGATCTACACCAACTTTAATTTCCATATCGGCAAGAAACACTGATTCTGGTTGAGAAATCCAATCATTTCATGTTATATTTTTTCGTCAATGCGGTAAATAGGTCAAAAGTAGTTACCTCAAACGAAACTCTTATGTAATCTGGAACTTTCTTAATTACATTATACAATTATACTCTTAAACACCTAAATATATGCAAGTTTATTCATCCCAATGGGAGAAATTGTTTTACGATCTGATACTCTTCATTACACAACTGTACTACATGTACCTTCAATATCTGTAAGAAGAGCTTATATAAAAATAAGGAAATCTTGTATGATTGCCAATGAGACAACTATCCATGAAAATTCAAATAAAGTGGATGTAAGCAATTATAGGCAACAGTAAGGCCTCCAACAATGAGAAAAACCCATACCATAAAGTCGACTATAAGGCCCTGACATGAAAAATATGAAACAATTCAATTGAGAAAACTAACGGCCTAATTTATAACAAAACAATTTACGAAAAACAAATATGACAAACATGAACCAACGACAACCACTGAACTACAGGCTCCTGACTTGGGATAGGCACATAAAGAATGCGGCAGGGTTAAACATGATTTTAAGCGCCTCTAACCTGGGAAATTGGTGTAACAGCACAACATAAGAACAAACTATGATAAAAATCAGTTGAAAAAGTCTTAACTCATCAGATCGATACAAAGCAGAAAAAACATCAAACAAAAACACAGACCAGATGTGACAGGGAATTCATCCCTCATCCCTTACAACAAAAAGGACACTTAGTACAGATCTGAGAGTACTTGCAGTTACTGACAGCTAGTTCAAAGCCAATAACAACTAATAAATAAACATCTGCGCCATGAGCACATGATACGCCCATCGCAGTTTCAAAGAATAAAGTTCAATCACTTCTCAATGTCATATCAGAAATTTATGAAAATCGAAAGGGAGCATTTGTCAATAGATTTAAACAATTCACCAAAGTTTCATGAGAACTGCTGAAAGCATTTTTGAGGTACCGGTATTGTCTGAAAACTGGAAAATCCCCCCTTTTTTAATGAATAAAACACCATAACTCGGAAACGTAAAATCTGAAATTTATAAAAAACGAAAGGGAGATCACGTCAATAGATATAAACAATTCACCAAAGTTTTATGCAAATTGGTTAAAGCGTTTTTGAGTTAATGTCTGACATGTTGACGGACGGAGACGGATGGACAGGACAGCAGTATACCATAATACGTCCCGTAAACGGGCGTATAAAAAAATCATGTATCTAAGACTAAAATTATGATGGTTTTCAAGGAAATTTCAGTCAAACAACCAAAAGTTTCAATCTGACTTACTCATTGAGGTTTCTCAACAAAAGATATATACATATAATGGTATGATTGCGAATGAGACAACACTCTACCAGAGACCAAATGACATAGTAGTTTACAACTATAGGTCACTGTACGGCCTTCTACAATGAGCAAAACCCATACCGCATAGTCAGCTATAAAAAGCCCCGAAATGACAAATGTCAAACAATTCAAACGAGAAACATATATACATTGTTCTTTACTTACTTTTTAGACTTACCTGACTTGTGTACGGATTATGAAACATTTTTTTTCAATTTGATTTATCTTCTTTTGACAAGAAAAACTAGATATGCATTTGGTTATGTTCATTAGGTCATAAATTGAGAAATCTGCCCAACAACCAAATATGATACATACTGTCTAACTTCTTGTGCCTCTTTATTGTCAGCTCTGAAGAAATCATGAGTTCTATATGCTTCTGTAGCTGCCCTACGGTATTCTCCAACATTAAATGCTACAAACACAAATATAAGAATGATATCTTTATAATATATACCTTAATCAGAATTTTTTCAGTTGGATAATCACAGAAATCTTGGAAATACATAAAACAACCATCTTATTTTTCCTGGAATAAGAGCAGGAAATTTTTAAATTTCATTTTTTTTTTCCTTGCTGAAATTTAAAGAAAATAAATGGAGAATGTGTCTATGGGCCACAGATGCCCCTGCTTGTAAATATGAATAAGTCAACTTCCACACACAGATGCAGGATTCACGTAGTTAAGACCGTTTTGTGATTATAAGCATTGTGTATAAGTTTCATAACACTTGGTTGAGGCAAACTAAAGTTAGAGAACAGAAACGACAGATTAAGCAATTTTTCCATTTATAAGGGGGCATAACTCAAGAACGGTAAAAGTGATGCCACCCAATTTCAAACTTGATCTGTGTTTTGTGGTAATAAGCATTATGTATAAGTTTCATTACATTTGGTTGAGGCAAACTAAAGTCAGAGAACGGAAACGAAAAATTCAGCAAATTTTGTGTTTATAAAGGGGCATAGCTCATCAACGGTAAAAGTGACACCACCCAATTTCGAAACTTGATCTGTGTTTTGTGGTAATAAGCATTGTGTATAAGTTTTATAACATTTGGTTGAGGCAAACCAAAGTTAGAGAACGGAAACCAATTTAACCAATTTTGGGGATGTACAGACGGGACGGACAAGGGTAACACTTAATGACTTACCATGAGCAATTCCCCTCAAACTGACCTAATCAGAAACTTTAACATTTAAATAAGCAAAATTTTCAAAGTCAATAGACCATGACTTGAGGTGGCAGGGCCAAATAAGCTCATTGGAAATTATATGAGCCAATGCATATAAAACTGCTTACTAAGTATCATTGATTTACCATTTGTGGTTCCCCTTAAACAGACCTAATCACAAACTGTAACAAATTGTTGACGCCACAGTCTTGCACTTGCAGACACCGCCATAAACAACATGCTTAAATCTGGTCTTCACTATATATATAGCTACTTGGTAGAGGAGAGACAAAAACTAATATACTTTTTGACAACCATTCAATTCTATATTCAAATGTCAATTAATGGCTTCAAGTGTTTTCAAAATGAACTTTCTAATTACTGTAATGTTATAAAATATGTTTACACTTGTTTCAGCCTCAGTGCAAACAGCCTGTGTTTCACTTCTATTTGTCCTGTTACTATGGGATTTGGTAAGATCTGACTTTAATCATAATTTTCAAGTGCAGAACAAATGATGTGAAATCAATTTACAAAATGTTCTAGGCAAATGGTAACCTTGCAAATTAACATTGTTAGCTAATTATTTGTTGAGAAAAAAATTGTAGCTACCAGAAAATTTGGTCCTGCCTTCCTGTGGCTTTCTATCAACCGCATTAAGGAAAATGTTATTTGTGACTTACTTATTAGTGATTGAAAAAGTATTCATAATTCTCATAAAGACAAGGCAGAAGTTTGCATGATGGCTAATAAACTTTCCACTAAGAAGCTTACTGTTATTGATTTTACAGCAATTAGTAAAAACATTTTTAGTTGAACTGTAAATGTGACAGACTCTACATGTTAAAAAAACATTCTTTAGATGCTCTAAGCTGGAATAGTATTATTGATGCCCTACAGTTACAGAAGAATCTCAGACAAGGTTAATTAAATAGCAAAGGTCAATCCTTAAAAGTTTTTTCTGAAGGGCACCAAGTGTATAAAAGAAATCACTGCAAGTCTGATACAGAGTATATGAGATCTATTAGTATTTCTATCATATTTAATGTGCTACCTTAGTTGTCTTATGATAGATGTCAGCTTGAAATAAGCAAGCAGCCGAGGCAAGAGCAAAGACATGTCAGCTATGATTAGAATAATGTTTCCTAATTGGGCAATTTAATGATTTTTAATGAAAAATTGTAACCTTATGAGTACCTGTTACCATGTTAAAATTCTAGATGTGTTTATCTAGTTTAAAGCAAAGTTCATATATATTATTAACTTTGTTCTGAAATGTTTGGAAAATGTTCTGCTTGATGTTAATGCTAACTCAAAGCAGGAATGTATCAAGGTTTGCATTATTTAAGGAATGACTGTAATATTTTCTCTGTCTATGAAGAAATAACATCAAAAATGTGGTGCACACTGAATAACCTGCGTAGCGGGTTATTTTAAAGTGTGCACCACATTTTTTATGTTATTTCGAATAGACAGAAAAAATATTACAGTCATTTCTTATAATTTAATTCTTAATTCCATTTTAAACCAGTGTAAATCATGAAAAAACGTTGATGACGTCAAGATCACATGACAAAATTATGTCTATGAGCTGATAAACAAAACAACGTCAGCCAATCGGAAGACGCGTTACATCCAAAATTAAATTATTAAACAATAATACATGTACTGTTTGAGATCTTGTATTTTTTTGGTTTTTATTTGAGAGATTCCATACTATGACTGACTGACTTAGTCCTATCAGGAATCTTATAGATTTTGCAAAAGGAATTAGATAGCAGTATAATTCTTACCTTTAGTTTTAATGCCAATCCAATTCAGATAGCGAGTTAGTTTTTTGGACATGTAAGTTTTGCCTCTGGCTGGGAGGCCAACCATTGATATGACAGTCGGGCATTTGACAACATTTGGACATGTTGCTGAAAATAGGAGAAAAGTCTGTTAGTGATTAATAAAAACTTGTTAATAATAGAGTTTCCAAAATTGCAAGTTATATTGAGCTGTTCTTGGTGACCTAAAACATGTCTTCCTGTAAAACATTATGATTTGTTATAGAAAACAAAGTTGTTTTCAGGTTATGGATCTAAAATTGAAAAGACATAAACTTTGTCAAGCCCTCATACACCAGTGTCTTTATCAATTACTCCAAGCGTTTAACAGCAATGGATTTAGGGAGTAGGCATTCTTTCCCAAATATAAATACTGCTGAAAAAATAACTATCAAGGTTCAAAGACAAATAAATCGATAACTTTACCTGAAAATCAAAGGTTAAATAGTTCAGTGGAAAAACTACATGTACTTTATTCTGTGGTAATGTATCTCTAATTGTCATGACATCACAATAGTAAACTCATAGGAATGCAAGAAATTTTGACATCACTAATGAATTCTGAGAACAAGCAAATTACACATCTATAATTCTTAAGTAAAGGAACAAATTTGCAGGATGTTCAGGAAAACGTGAGTCTCAAACTGAAAGTGATAGTCTAGATTGTGCAGTTTATTCTTGCATATAAGCTCTTACAAGCAACTTTTTTGAGTTTATTTAAAAATGAATTTTGTATGTGCTTTTGAAAATTAAATTATCACAAACTTAGACAACTCTAGATTATATTCATACTAAGTTTTAGTACCCTTCTTTATTTTCAGAAATGAAAATAACATTTTCAAATTTCTTACATTCGAAATGCTTTTCTTTATCAACCTTCAATAGAATAGCCAGGGATGTAAAAATTTGTAGAAACTTTAGATGTCCTTCATATCAAAGCTTCTTGGTCACCTTTTAGTTGATTGTAAAAAATAATCAATCAGACAGGGAGAGTACAAATCAGCTTAGGAACAGAGAAGTATATCTTTTGTCTAGCAAAAAGTTATATAAGCTGAGTAAAATAATTTATGTTACCTGATGCACATTCCTAAAAATCTAATAATAATTACAAACTAATTCCTACACTTATAAACATGAATGCTGCAAGGTCATGTTATTGTCAGGAAATGTAATGAGGATGCATCTGATTACCTTGAGATTCCATGTTGTAGATATACTAGTAGCTGATTAAAAAACCAAGCCTCTTTTGAAGAGATAATTGATATTCATAGATATTTTGTTTTGTTTATCTACTTGTAACCATATATGATATCCAAATGCCATCTCATAGAGACACAACTTGGGAATTTTACCAATTGGATAACGTCAAATTGAATTCTCAAGAAGATTTAGAGTAATAGTAGTCTACAAAATTTTAGTATAAGTTTAAACTGTAAGAATTGTCAGTTATAAAAATGTTGAAAATATGCTGCAAAACCCTATGTTTTGACCTTTGCAAAAAATAGTAGTGCATGTGAACTTTCCATTCCAGTATATACATGTAGTTTTTTACGAAACTTCATTGTCAAATTGGCACAGTTTTATCTCTAAAAGGAGTTCCTACGGGAAATTGCATTGTCTATATTAAAAGAAGTGCAACCTTAATGTTTATATCTCCCCTCATTCATTTGTTGATAATTTTGACAACCAAATTTATCAATATTCCTTGACAGTGAACTAAATCTTTATCTTGAATTTGAATAAAAGGAGATAAGGTTATACATTAAAAAGACAGCAACCCAACAATAAACAACAGTGCACAAGCTGAAATGTCTCACCTGCTACACTTATCATGACTGCATTTATGTTGAAATTCTGTAATATATAGGTTTTACTACAAGTATCACATACAACTAACATTATCAATGATCCATGAAAATGAGGTCAAGGTCATATGAACCATGCTAGACAGACATGACTACTCCTTATAACCATTCCATACACCAAATATAGCTGACCTATTTCTAATAGTGTCTGATAAACTGACAAAACTACAAAAATTTAAAATTGATCAATGAACCATGCAAATGAGGTCAAGGTCATATGAACCCTGCTAGACAGACATGTACACCTTACACTCATTCCATGCACCAAATATAGCTGACCTATTGCTTATAGTATCTCAGATACAGACTTGACCATGAAACTTTAACCTTTAAATTTTAATGATGAAAATAGGTTGAGGTCAGGTGATCCTTGTCTGACGAACATGTGGACCTTGTAAGGAACCCATACACCAAATATAGTTATCCTAAATTCACATTACTTTTTCAAGCAGTTGCTGAACCATGAAAATGAGGTCAAGGACAATAGACATATGATAGACAGAGACTATGTGACATAAGGTATCTGCATACAAGGTATGAAGCATCCAGGTCTACTTCCCTCAGAAATATAAAGCTTTATACAAATAGTTTACGCCAACGCCTATTGTAATCCCTATGTCTCACAAAGTCACAGGTGAGAAAACAAGAGTGCACACGCTGAAATGTCTCGCCTTCTTTACTAACCATTGATTTTATGTTGATAGTCCTAAATATAAAGCTTTACTACAAGTAACACATAAACTTAACATGATCCAAGAAAATGAGGTCAAGGTCAGATAAACCAAATGAGAAATACATGTACACCTTACAATCATTCAATAAACCAAACATAGTTGACCTATTGCTTATAGTTTCTAAGAAACAGTCTTAACCAAGAAAACTTAACATTGACCAATGAACCATGAAAATGAGGTCAAGGTTAGATGAACCATGCCAGACAGACATGTACACCTTACAATCAATGTATGCATTAAATATAGTTGACCTATTGCTTATAGTATCTAAGAAACAAACTTAACCATTAAAACTTAACATTGACCAATGAACCATGAAAATGAGGTCAAGGTCAGATGATACCTGCCAGACAGACATATACACCTTACAATCCTTCCATCCAACAAATATATAGTTGATCTATTGCTTATAGTTGAAGAAAAACAGACCAAAACACAAAAACTTAACACTGAGAAATGAACTGTGAAAATGAGGTCAAGGTCAAATAAAACCTGCGAGACTGACATGTACATCATAAAATTGACCTATTGCATATAGTATTAGAAAAAAAGACCAAAACTCAAAAACTTAACTTTGACCACTGAACTATGAAAATGAGGTCAAGGTCAGATGACACCTACCAGTTGGACATGTACACCTTACAATCATTCCATATACTAAATATAGTAGACCTACTGCTTATAGTATCTGATATATGGACTTGACCACGAAAACTTAACCTTGTTCACTGATCCATGAAATGAGGTTGACGTCGAATGAAAATTGTCTGAACGGCATGAGGACCTTGCAAGGTACGCACATACTAAATATAGTTATCCTATTACTCATAATAAGAAAGAAATAAACATTACAAAAAATGTTGACTTTTTTTTCAAGTTGTCAACTTGTCACTGAACCATGAAAATGAGGTCAAGGACAATGGACATATGACAGACGGAAACTTCATATCATAAGGCATCTATATACAAAGTATGAAGCATCCAGGTCTTCTAGCTTTAAAATATACAGCTTTTAAGAAGTGAGCTAATGCTGCCGCAGCCACCACCGGATCACTATCCCTATGTTGAGCTTTCTGCAACAAAAGTCGCAGGCTGGACAGAAAAATGATTCAAAGCTTAAATGTCCCTTTGCAATCTTTGACCTCTGTTTTAAGACATCTAGAGGACAACACAGTAATTCAATACAACTAAAACATCAAAGTATCTCTTTCCAAGTTCTTTTCTTTTGATACTGTAAATTCAGAAATTATTGCCATGTTTTTATTATTGCGAAAAATGCGACATGGTTATAATCGCAATAATTTAAACTCGCATTTTGAAATCTTTTATATGAATTAAACAGGATTTTTCTCAATATCGCAAAAATTAAAATCGCACTTTAGTCTAAAATGACAAAATCGCAATAATAAATGCACGCAATGATTTCTGAATTTACAGTAGTTGATATGCAATGAAAAATCAAGAGAAAACACCTCACATTAGAACTTAAGTAGGGTGATGAAACTTAGATTGGTAGTAAATACATAACAAAAAGTAACTGGTAGCTTGGGCAATCAAACAATGATGTCCATCTTATATTTGAAAATATGTATTGGCATATGAATTATAATTACATTTACCATTTGTCTGAACATTTATATACTACTTGAGCCTTGCTGTTTGCAGCAAGTCACCTTTGGACCCTTCATAGTGTTGGTGTTTACCAGAATGTAGCATTATATTTTTATCTGATGTTTCAATGTGTGTTTACACAAACACACTACCAGTAGGTTTCAATGTGTGTTTACACAAACACACTACCAGTAGGTTTCAATGTGTGTTTACACAAACACACTACCAGTAGGTTTCAATGTGTGTTTACACAAACACACTACCAGTAGGAGCAATAGAAGTCCAGGGGACCATATTTCTATACTCCAATTACATGTACCTCTAGCAATCAAAAAGAATTCAAATGCACAAACCATTTTCTCCACAAATTTTAAATCAAAATGTGCTTGATTATGATAACACAACATTTTGAAAGCAAGTTAAAGTGTATTGTAATAAATTTAAAAAAGCTGATTTTGTAAGGGCACCTCACAGTGATGGACATCTGTTATCCTGAGGTAAATGACCTTTCATACTACATATAAGAGAAAGGTCAATCATCTTTATTACTGTCCATAATTATTATTCTCTCTTCCCCAATAGCTCCCCTCTCCGGTTTACCAATAGGTAACATTGTATGTAAATAATGATTATGTAACAAATATAGGATATTCAGTTTAAATACTTCTTTCATTTACTTTTTATCAAATTACATGTTGTTCACAGACCCAAAACCAGTACTTCTCTCAAGGATGCCGATGGTATTTAGGGTCATGATATTCAGTTTAAATACTTCTTTCATTTACTTTTTATCAAATTACATGTTGTTCACAGACCCAAAACCAGGACTACTCTCAAGGATGCCGATGGTATTTGGGGTCATGACACTCAGTTTAATAGTCATAATTCAACCTGAATCTAGATTTTTATAGTCTTTTATATCATTTTTGGTTTTCAGGGGGTGGGGGTATTCCTGAGAACCTCCTGTCTATACAGGTGTGGTACATATTGTTGTATCGATATGTATTTTTTTCTTTAGATAAGCATACCAGTAATTGTTATGAAAATGGGCATCTAACTTGAGAAAGTTCAAAGCTAGCAGTTATCCTAATGTCTTCAAAACAATAAATAGATGATTCTGGAAAATGAACCAAATAATTGGGTTTTTTATTTGGCATATAATTTCAAAATTTCATATAAAAATGAACATCAAGTTTATGTGACCACATCTTCATGGTAATCTACCATAACCAAAAACGTTAACATGATAGGGGAATTCGAAGGACAAATGGACAAACAGAGGCACATATTTAAGTGGGCCATACAAAATAGTTCTCAATCTTATTTGTTGAACTGCAGGATCCTCTTATGGTTTGATAAAAAAAACTTCCATTATATGTGGTATAAGACAAATAAGACAAGAAAGGTTATGTATATTTGTACTTGTAGCCCTGACAAAAACTTCCTTGCAGTGGGTATAAAAGTTAGTTTCATACATTTTTTTTTTTATCTCATTATTTTTTTGTTTAGCATTTTTGTATTTTTAATCAAACAAAAATACAGTGGTCATAAATTTACTGTCACATACAAATACTTTAGCTTTTTAAGTTTCTTTTCAAGGATCACTTGACTAAGGAAGTAATGTTCCATATCAAATGGTTTTACATCAATATAAAACTGATGGTTCAGTTCATGTTGAAAATAAATTATTCATAAATCTAGACCTATATTTGAAGTTAACTTTGTGGTTATTGCAGGATGTTAAACTAAAAGAAGATCACTGTACAAGTCAATGGTCAGGTTTTCTTCCGTGTCCTGTTCTTAAATATAAGTAACCATTTCTTTAATCTTATCAATATACATTACAAACATAAAAGGATGATTTATTGTATTGAATTATACATGGATTCAACATTTAGTTTGTTCAAATTGAAGCAAATCTAAGTATAAATCATATTGTATTATTATAATTGAAATTACATTTAATTCACATCTGGAAATTATAAACAAACAAAAAATCCCCAAATCTTTTGGTGTTGAAATATAGTTTTAAGATATTTGATTTTGTATACATGTACTTTAAATGTATGCAAAAGAAAAGGTAACAAGTTAATCCAAGTTGGATAATAGTAACTATATATACTAAGGTTGGAGGTGAAATTACATAATGCAAATAAAAGAATTCTATTAGGTAGTGAATATTTTTGTATAGTATTAAAGTTTTCTACTTTTGAATGACAAAAGGTGGAAAGAGAAAGATGGGGTTTATGGGTAAAAAAGAAGTACACATTGAGGGTGTACTATGATAAGATAAGATATTTTATTTCCAATTATGGGCCATAAAGGGCATAAACATTACAACATCAATAATTTTTTCATAATACAATACAAACAATGAGATAAAAAAAAAAAAAAAAAGTTACACGAGAACTATTTAAGTTCTTAAAGAATACGTAGATAAAGAATCTATAGTATGTTGTTTTTTTTAATACTAATGCATTTTATTGCAAGTGTGGTTGATATAGATAACAAACAAGCAGCCCAAAAAGAAAAAAAAGAAAAATAGATATCCACATATGTATAGTACACAAAAAGTTGGATCAATTAAATATATAATAATTAGCCAAAAAGAAAGTAGAAATTAAACATGTCCATGACTCATCCTGTGTCAGCAGCAAATAGGAAAGCATTATGGTTTCCTATGTATATGTTTAGTTTTTATACTGAGCAGCACTTGAAATAAAACTTCTGAAATGTCTTCTTCTAAGCACCCAAAATTGCAAACAGCTGCAATATGAAAAAGACTTTATTTATCATGAAGAACATGTTTTAACAAACAACATTAGAACTAGATCAAACAATCTTTGGGTAATATTGCTATAGAACTGATATCAGAATCTTAGATTAGAGATTCTACAGGTAAACATCTGACTTTTGATGGTGAAGACTAAGGTGTTAACATACTATTTTCTAACTGAGAAAAACTATGCTAGTAAGTATATTTGATCAAATTACAGGTACAACAGAATAATTACCATGGTGATTTCCCAAATATTAACAGTTAGACCTCAATACTATCAAATTAAAACCTTAAAATTATCAAATGAACACTAACTAAACTGAACTAACAAACCTTATAATGATCAAATGAACACCAACAAGACACTAAACTAACAGACCTTAAAAATTCAAATGAACACCAACTAGACACTGAACTAACAAACCTTAAAATTATCAAATGAACATCAACTAGACACTAAATGAACAAACCCTAAAATTATCAAATAACAGCAACTAGACACTAAATGAACAAACCTTAAAATTATCAAATAACAGCAACTAGACACTAAATGAACAAACCTTAAAATTATCAAATAACACCAACTAGACACTAAACTAACAAACCTAGAAAATATCTGGAGGAAGAAGACACTCAATATTATTAAATGAACACCAACTAGACACCCAGAAGTTTCACACTCATACCTAAGGAGTCTACTCTCTTATCTTGAAGAAGACAACACTCAATATTATCAAATGAACAACAACTAGACACTGACCTTCATCTTCACAAAATATCAGAAAATCAGGTAAAAAAATATTATCTTATCTGAAGGAAAGCCTCAAGAGTATGCTTAGTTGAGTTAATTAAGATTTGAATGGATTACCTAAGTACTACTAGTAAGCTTTTCACCATTGAAACTATTGAAGGGTCAGTAAAACAAGTTATGGGCCAGTAAGTTTTTGGATAAACTGTTTCAAGGCCAGCATACAACACAAAGAAAAAATTTAAGAAACATTATCAACATTTATGCACAATTTTGTTTGTTAAATAACTTGCATTAAATAATAATAAAAAATGTATTCAAAAATATGTAAATACAAATATGACCTACCTGACCCCCACCAACGATCTTCTACTGAGTTCATCCTTAACGATGTTCACCTCAACTCACTTCCTAATGTAAAGACTGTTTAATAACCTGAATATTGACCTTCAACTCTTCCTTGCCACACTTATGTGTTGTTTGTCAACAGTACATGTTGTGTTATTTAAGACAATCTCAATAAATCTATTAATGTTTGATTTTACATACTATGTATACTAAAACACTGCACACTTAATTGAAAGATTATTAGATGCCAAAATACAAGTGCCAAAAAATAGCTTTCTTTACTTTGCCAATTCAGATCTTACCCATTACAATTTATAATAGCATTGAGATAAGAGGCGAAGGTGGGTGTTTCATTTATATCTATTAGAAGACATCCAAGTATATAGACTTAAACTAGAGCATCCAAGTAGGCTTTTACTGAAGGCATCCAAGTGTGCTCAAACTTCGATAAATGCTGACTCACAAATTACCTGTATTGCATACAAATAAAGTTACAAAAAAGTTATTTATAAAGTTACAAAAAAGTTATTTAAAAATATGACACAAAAAAAACTTTTGTCTGAATTATCAACTCAAGCAGATTAAAAGTTAAGCTGAGTTCACTTACAGTATACATAGATAACGCATTCTGTTGAATATTGCTTAATAAAATTCACAAACCATAATTTCCTTTATAATTCATGATCATTTAAATAAATATATCTTACTTGACTGAATTTATTGTAAATTGTAAGATTTTTGGCTAATTTTTTAATAGTGTGTCTGAAATCATATTGTGATTCACTAGTACAATGTATCTATAAATAGAAAAATCTTGCAACTAATGAAAAATCCTTGGCCACTAGAAGTAAGCACAATAAGTAAATGAAAAATGACATCTTGGCTTGAGCTGATAAAATAAGTCATTTATAACCAAATCCTGTATAACCAATTATCCTATATAATCTGATTTGTATAACTATCTGTGGGTTTCCTGCATAGTAAATCATGATCTATTATGACAACTTTCTCAGAAAATTATTAGGTCAGGACAAATTATATTCATGGATAAAATTAGAAAATCTATTGAACCAGCTGAAAGTATAAAAAAAATGTCAGAATTTTAACATTCATTTAAGCAAGTAAAGTAACTAATGCCTTCAATGAACTGGAGATAACTCCTGTTTGTTTTGTTTTCTTCAATTAGAATCTTGGTGTAGTTATCTCCCTTTTATATAAAAAATGACTGATCTAGGGTGTGTAGGGTGTATCAACTTATAAGTCGAAGAGCTACGATTCCATCAAAAGTTAGTAAACCTAAATGAAACGCATACTTTAATCTATAGGTCACCATGCATTGTAAACTTATGTACCAAAAATCTGATCAATAAATGCATGGATTATTTGGAAAAGAGTTCAGATAATTTTGGAGGTGTGGTCTGTCTTTCTAACCCTTTCTACACTAATAGAGATCTTTGCAAACATCCTTAAAGTATATAACTTCTGAATGTAAGATTCTGGAATAAGTTCTTTTGGTTGAAGGCCACAGTATAGAACAAAACTGGGAAAACCTTAAAATAAATTAAGATTTTGGTTGGAATGGTATTCTAAAGCCAAAACCACATTTTATTCTCTTAAGACTTTGGTGGTCAATGGTTTCAGTGAATCCAATGCAAGCTATGGCAATGTCACAATCTATATTTATCTGCACCCTCGGTCCTGAAGGTCAAGAAATATGATAAAGTAGAAATAAACTGCTTCGCTGAGCGCAGCTGGATACGCCCGCAGAGGTCCAACCCTGAACAGTTGGGGCAAAAATGGACACAATATTCAAGCTTGATACAGGTCTGATTTGGATTGTAATTAAATATTTGATATATTATAGGTTTCTGAATAAATGTAGTCAAAGAACTTGAAATTGGTTATATGAAAGATTTCTTGCTGTTGTGCAATACACTGTGCTGTTACGCAATACTTAGTAAATCTGTTGTCAGACTATAAACAAATAAAATCTTATAACTCTGAAATGTAAAATCGAAAATTTATAAAAATCAAAAGGGAGCTTACAAAAATAGATATAAACAATTTACCAAAAGTCTCATAAAAAATGCTGAGTTATTGTCCGAAAACTGGAAAATCCCCCTTTTTGTAATGAATAAAACCCCATAAATATATATTCTGAAATTTATAAAAATCAAAAGGGAGCTCATGTCGATAGAAATAAACAATTCACCAAAGTTTCTTGCAAATTGGTGAAATTGTTTTTGAGTTATTGTCTGAAAACTGGAAAATCCCCCCTTTTTTAATGAATAAAACCCCAAAACTAGGAACAGTAAATCCGAAATTTTATTAAAATGAAAGGAGGCTCACGTCAATAGACATTAACAATTCACAAAAGTTTCATGCAAATTGGTGAAATGTTTTTTGAGTTATTGTCCGAAAACTGGAAAATCCCCCCTTTTTTAATGAATAAAACCCCAAAACTTGGAAACAGTACATCCGAAATTTATATAAAACAAAAGGGAGCTCAAGTCAATAGATATGAACAATTCACAAAAGTTTCATGCAAATTGGTGAAATTGTTTTTGAGTTATTGTCCGAAAACTGGAAAATCCCCCCTTTTTTAATGAATAAAACCCCAAAACTCGGAAATGGTAAATCTGAAATTTATAAAAAAAGGAAAGGGAGCTCACGTCAATAGATATAAACAATTCACCAAAGTTTCATGCAAATTGGTTTAAGCATTTTTGAATTAATGTCTGACATGTTGATGACGGACGGACAGACGGTCAGCGGTATACCATAATACGTCCCCTAAACGGGCGTATAAAAAAAAAATGGGAAATGTGTCCATGGGACACAGATGATGCCCCCACTTGCATTTAACGTTATAAAGGGACATAACTCAAGAACTGTAAAGTTACGCTACTCAAATTTGTACTTGATCTGAGTTTTGTTGTAATAAGCATTGTGCATAAGTTTCATAACATTTGGTTGAGGCAAACTAAAGTCAGAGAACAGAATTGACTATTTCAGCAATTTTTCCATTTGTAAAGGGGCATAACTCTAGAACAGTAAAACTGATGCCACCAAAATTCAAACTTGATCTGTGTTTTGTGGTAATAAGCATTGTGTATAAGTTTCATATCATTTAGTTGAGGCAAACTTAAGTTAGAGAACAGAAACGAAAAATTCAACTTTTTTTCCATTTGTAAAGGGGCATAACTCTAGAACGGTAAAAGTGACACCACCAAAATTTAAACTTGATCTGTGTTTTGTAGAAATAAGCATTGTGTATAAGTTTCATAACATTTGGTTGAGGAAAACTAAAGTAAGAGAACTGAAACCAACTTTGGGACGTACCGATATACGTACATACGTTAAAACAAGGGTAAAACTTAGTGCCCCCTCCGTTACGGAGGGGGCATAATAACACTGTACCAAATTTTATGTTAATGGTATTCAAAATGTTAATATAGGTGGATCTTACAATTTTACCATGTAGAAAGAATAGGTTTTTTTTTCTAACTGTAAATATTTATGAACCAAGTTGCTATAAACAATTTCCCACCATGCTACAAATTTGTCAAATGACACAGAGGTTCTTCCGTGAGATCTTTATAACTCATACTTAGTGAAAGAATAGTATGAACAAAAGGCATGAGAAAGGAGTTTCAATTACAATTTTGAAAGTTTTAAAAGAGCTTAGTACATCAAATATTTAGAGTTGAATGTGGATGAAAATCTTTGTCAAAGAAAAGGCATTCAATCCAAGTGATGAGAAAGTTTGAAAACCTTCTAATTTATCAAAATTACCTAGATGTATATAAGTTATGACCTAGATGTATATAAGGTATGTTTGTTTGAACTAAAAATCTGAGTAAATGTTAATATTCAGACTGTGCTATACAATAGAGATACATAAAATTGAGAATGGAAATGGGGAATGTGTCAAAGAGACAACAACCCGACCATAGAACAGACAACAGCAGAAGGTCACCAACAGGTCTTCAATGCAGCGAGAAATTCCCGCACCCGGAGGCGTCCTTCAGCTGGCCCCTAAACAAATATATATACTAGTTCAGTGATAATGAACGCCATACTAAACTCCAAATTGTACACAAGAAACTAAAATTAAAAATAATACAAGACTGACAAAGGCTAGAGGCTCCTGACTTGGGACAGGCGCAAAAATGCGGCGGGGTTAAACATGTTTATGAGATCTCAACCCTCCCCCTATACCTCTAGCCAATGTAGAAAAGTAAACGCATAACAATACGCATATTAAAATTCAGTTCAAGAGAAGTCCGAGTCTGATGTCAGAAATGTATACAAAATGTGGTCATTACTCATATTTCACATTCAATACAATGTATGTCATGTATATATACTGGTACTCTGGATTATATAACAGATTCCTACATGTTTATACTAACTTTGTATGTAGGAGTAAAGTTAAGCTGCTGGTGCAATACTGGTCTGATAAACACCACAAGAGTACATTTATATTCCATGAAAGAAACTCTATTATCATCTTTTGGTTTCAATTGGTTCAATTTTTTTCAAAAAGATAAAAAAAAACAAGCTTTCAGATTTCACTATCATTATCTATTTACCTTCTTTTTTCCTATCACCAGTCAAAAGAGACATACTATGTCTATGATCACAATGTAATTAATAATCCTTTTCCAGATCTAATTTTGTCACACTTTGTACAGAGTATGATGCAATACAACACCTCTATTACACATACACTGTATTTAAAAGCTTAATCTCTTTGCAGATTTCAAGTTTAATTTCATGTAATAATCTCACTAATCCATAAGTAAACAGACATTATATAGAATTGTTATTGACAGATCCCTTTCTTTGAAAAGATATATATTCATGTTTTTATAGATATTTGGATAATATCTAAATAGAAGCATCTATATACATGTATCAGCATTAATTATGGGCATAAGGTAAGAAATCACTCTAAATTTATGTAACAAAACAACTTCTAGAGTATAATCATTTACATAAGACTGAAACATTTCATCTCAGACCTGTCCATACAGGGTTCTCACTAGGACTTTTAAGACTTAGCAGTTTTGAAATGCAAGTCCTAAGAAAGCAGGGAGGGGGTGCATAAGGAACAAGCAATATCCAATAATATTTGATAGCATTTAATCATTTTGTCTAAAGATGATGATGTTGAAGACTAGGAATTTCTTTTAACAAACTAATAACATTAATAGTAACAACTTTTTCTGCACCAGATGTGCAGTTCAACAATAAATGTCTTTTCAGTGATGCTTAAGGC